AACCATTATCACTTTCTGAACAATAATGAAATAATTATTATATCTCTCTGAATTGAAAAAAACCCAACCTACCCGAGCCAAACACCTTTACTCCCATTTTTTTTCAGTTATTGGTACCATGGAGATATTGCTGTTGAATTTGAGAGATAGGATTAAGTGTTCAGGGAAGACGAATTTTTACATAACCCTCACATTCCTTCAGAGCCCATTTCCCATTGTGTCTGGCTGAAGTAGATTGTACTTTCTCAGACCAGGCACCTAGAAATCAAGACTGCACACATAGGAATTAAGTGACTGCACTAACTTTATTCAGACTCCCTGGCTGCTATTGAGTTTTCTGCAGGTAATCTTCAAAAGATGAGGGAATGTGAAGAAGTTCTGCTTATGTTTTGGGGGAGTTCATTAGAAGTGTATTGAACAGCAGAGATGAGTGGGGAAGGTGCTTCTTTGAAGATGAAGTAGTGACTGGTAGCAATTGTGGATTAATAAGAGGCAGGAGCTGATATTTTGGTAATGAAAGATAAAATGTCCAGTAAGATAGGGAAGGCATGGCTGGTTTTGAGCTTTGAAAATGGCACAAGACAGTCTTTACTCATAAGTAATCTGAGAAAATGTAATTAAAGGGACTATTTGGATTCATATATATTGAATAAGGTTCTGTTGGCAAGTGTACTGCTTACATTTCTTAACTGAGGATTTTGTAATTGTCGTGGTTTAACCCCAGCCAGCAACTAAGCACCACGCAGCCGCTCACTCACTCCCCCCCCATCCAGTGGGATGGGGGAGAAAATCAGGAAAAGAAGTAAAACTCCTGGGTTGAGATAAGAACGATTTAATAGAACAGAAAAGAAGAGACTAATAATGATAATGATAACACTAATAAAATGACAACAGTAGTAATAAAAGGATTGAAATGTACAAATGATGCGCAGGGCAATTGCTCACCACCCGCCGACCGACACCCAGCCAGTCCCCGAGCGGCGAAAAAACCCTGCCCCCCCCTTCCCAGTTCCTAAACTAGATGGGACGTCACATGGTATGGAATACACTGTTGGCCAGTTTGGGTCAGGTGCCCTGGCTGGGCATGAGAAGATGAAAAATCCTTGACTTTAGTCTAAACACTACTGAGCAACAACTGAAAACATCAGTGTTATCAACATTCTTCACATACTGAACTCAAAACATAGCACTGTACCAGCTACTAGGAAGACAGTTAACTACATCCCAGCTGAAACCAGGACAGTAATCCTAAGAGGTGATAAGGAAAAATACAAAACAATTTGCAAATTTTCATATGTATTTTGTTAATGCTGTGCAAGTGAACTGTGAAATGGACCTTTTTATAGGCAGAACTGCTAGCACTAGTAGTCCATTTTAGGCAGTTAAGATAATTTTTCAGTTTTGGAGTCATTAATTTTATTACAGAACTTAGAACAATAGTGATTTTTTTAATTTTATTTTTAGAACAATGAATTTTTTTTAAATTTTTGCAAGAGTCTGCTGCTGTGGGCCTGCACACAAACTTGACTCTTACAAGACACAGAAATTTTGTACAGTTCCATTTAAAAGTAAGAATAGCTTTTTGAAATCCCTAATTCTCTTAAACTAACTAAAATAAATTTCAAGAAGTTTCCTTTCTGTTTGATGCCATTGTTCAAACTTGTCATTATATTGTTTAATCTCTGTATTAGTAGCCTAAATACATGACAAATGGCATGGATGCTTTAAGAAAAGTTGCATCCATGTCTGGTGGCACAGCGAGGCCCAGGTGAGAAGCCCTGGCTGAGTCATCTCAGCAAAAGGCAATTGGGGGAATTTTGTGCTGAACACATCAGGATAGGTAGAAGTACATCGGAAGAAGTCTTTTAATTACTCTATTTCAATTTTGGGAAAAAAAAAATCTTTCTGTCTTTAGTGGCTGTACATTAGAAGCTGTATCTTTTGATATAGCAGGAACTGGTGTTTCTATAGAGAGCAAAGAAACCTTACAGGTTTGGGAGTTTGCTCAAATCAGTTGTTTCTGAGAAGCATCTGCCATAATATCAGTCTGTGTTCTCGGAAACTTTCTTGGTCTTCCAAATGTCCTTTTCCTTGTTTTACCTCATGATAGCACATCCAGGTGGAATTTGCCTTGCAGAAGAAAAACTGCTTTCCAAATAAAGAAATAATTGCTTGATGCAGAGATTTTCACAGCTAGTTACTTTTCTTAGTAAATCAGAATTTTAAGTCAAATCCCTCTGCAGGTGTCCAATTTTTCTCTCAGTTCATTTCAACGTAAATCAAAATCTGTGTTATTTTGAGAAGAAAAGAGAGCCTGATTACTGTAATATTAAAGATTTTTAAAAGGATACATCATACATCTGTTGATTATGGCAGTAGTGCTTTCGTTAGGGTTGTGATTCCTCCTCTAAGCACCTATTTACAGGCACGTGCATGTTTTTGATACAGATCTGTCTGCTGTCCGGGAAAAGCCAGACAGAGGCGTGTGGGAGCTGCTGTTTCTTAATTGCTTGGATAACTGACACCGAGTCTGGTTCCAAAACTTGCCGTGTTTATAATTCTCGATACAAAAGGCACACAAAGTAGATGTGATGGTGCCAGATAGCATCTGTTTTACATAGCTTTTGGTTTGCAGTTTCTGACGTGTTACATCCTAATATTAAAAGCTATGGTATAGGCAGGAGGCAGGTGAGTTGGCTGTTGCCTTCGTCCTGGCTGCACTCGGGGTCGGGCAGGGGGATGCTTCTTCCCTTGGCAGAATAAACCTCTGGGCCACCAGGTGGGACAGAAAGAAAGAAAATGGGATGTGCAACAAGTAGAGAGGCTTAAGTGTGAGCTGACATTAGGAGGCGCTGGGAATGAGAGCAAAGATACTGTCAGGGCTGGGAAGTGGTGGAAAGAAGGCTTTCCACAAGGATTTAGCTCGAGTCTTGCATGGCAGGCTGTATCCCAGGAGGGCACCGAAAGTGGGTCTATCAAGAGCAAGTCCGAAGGACTGCTGCAAAGATGGAGTGGGGCAAGGGGAGTTTTATGTACAGACTTGAAACTAGTCAAGGGAAAAACTTGTGGGGCTGAAAGATGGTAGTGTAGGACCCAAGTGGTACTAGATTAACGATGCTTACATTGTACGATACAGATGTCTGCTAAAATGACACAGCATTAAGCCAGACATTTGTTAGCAGAGGCATATCTGCTAATAGGATGTTATTTTGGTCTCTTCTTACATGTGTTTATACTTATCGTATGTTTGCTTGAAAAGACCACACATGGAAAATTGCCAAAAACATTGTATTAACAAAGTCACATTCACTTCTGATGACCTTTTATCATAGCTGAGATTCAAAATTGCGTTTCATCAACAACTCTGATTTTAGACTTGCAGATAATAGCTTCAGTGCAAGATAAATACACTATGTAGTTTTCTGCAATCACCAGTGTTCCTAACTTCAAAACAAGAAACCCATGGCAACAGTGATCTGGAAGATACCGTATGAAACAAGGTGGAATGCTTCTTTTTAATGTGAAACAACTCCAGATATTCTGATTTTCCTATATATACACCTTTTTGCATGTAACTGTAGAATTGTCCTGGAGATTTGAATATTTATTTTTCAACTTTATGCCATGGTACATATAGAACTTCAGCTGAAATCAGTAAATACAGAAAAGTAAACGCTGGCTTATGTCACATTTATGAATTATATGGATTATCCTTTATATTGGGTTTATAAGCAACTTTTACTATATGGAAAATATTTTATTTTGAGTTCTTGTTTACATTCATAATGCAGTTCCAGGCAGGTTCAAGATGCTGGTTAACCTTTGAAATGTATTACTTGCCTAGTGCTTAACAGAGATAGATGACGAAGAAGTGCATATTAAAGCCTCTCAAAACACAGGATCATCAATCTTCAAGTAGCTTGGCTTCACGCAGCGCGCTGCTATCCAGGATGCACAAGGCATATCTACAGCCCATGGAAACTTGATGCATCCAGCCTCCTGCTTTTGCAGATTCTCAGTGGAAATGTCAATTGGACATTACCAACTGCCTCTGCCTGCCTTTAATATCTCTTCAATAATTTAATATGTTGTCTGACTCTGTGTGCTAAACTCATAACCTATCACTTATTATTTTACTGACCTGATGGCTCTGGCTCTAGAATCTAAGTCCATGTTTGAAACCGAGTGTTCACACTTCATAATATTTTCTGTTTGGTCACATGGGTAATTAAAAGCATAAGCTTCTAATGAGTAACACAGGTGTAAGAATGGTTTTAGATCTTCTTACTGGTAGTCCTTGAATTACCCTGATCCAAGTTTGAAAATACAACATTCACAACTTTGACATTAAAATTACACATTTGGTGAATAAAGTATGTGCTTTTTGGAAAGTCAAATTAGAAATAAAATCAATCGGTTAGCATAAGAGCCTCACGTAACTCTTTGATGTCAGCCTTTTCTGGTGTGCTATTAATAAAGGCCTGGGAAAAAATGTTTAAAGAGTACTTGGTACTTTATGAAATTATACAAGCTGCATTTTCTTACACTGTTTATAACTCTTGGCAAATGAACCTCAGTGAGCTGCCTTGTGTGTTCAGCCGAGACCCCAGTAACCTGCCCAGAGAGAGCTTGGAAGAAGTTTACCCAAACACTGCTGACCATCAGCTGATTTTGTGCTTTTTCTTGTGTACCTTTTAAAAAAATGCTGGCTGTGATAACTTCTGTAGCGTTGCTTTTATAACTGTAGTAAAATTATGATATAAACCTGACTAAACTATAAATATCATTACAAAAACGCATAAAGGGACAAAAACCAATTTGCAAACATTTCAGACAACAGCAAAAAAGATTTTTGTAGTTGTGGAAGCACACATTTCCACTGCACATTTGGTAACCCCAATCATCTGAAAATGGTAAAATGGCGTTATTAAAATGAGTTAACCTATTAAACCTAGATTTAAATTTTTTTTTTTTTTTTTTTTTTTTTTTTTTATCTCTAGGTTGATGATCGAACAGAGGAGGACAACAGCAGAGTTGAGCCAGTTGGACATGCAGACACTGGTTTGGAGAATGCTACCAGTTTTTCCCTGGAGTAAGTTACTGGCAGAACACATTGTTTTAACGATGAATCTTGAGACTGAACATGGACTAGCAAAAAACTCAGAGTAATACGCTCTTAAGAAAATGGGGCAGTCTTTTTTAGGTCATGTGTCATTTTGGTTTTAAACAATTTGCTTCATGGACCTTTTTAAAGCAGATTTTAAACAGTTTAAAAAGCCTGTGTTAAAGATGAGCATCAAAAACTTGACATTTATAAGTGCTGATGCTACAGTAGATTTTCTGCCTCAAAGAAGATGCTTATTTGATGGAACTCTGAAAACTTGACAGAATGAATAGGGTCAGGGCTAACACAAATAGATCAACAGGCAGGAATTTCAAAGGGGAAAATCTTAATTCCTGTCACCAGTTCACAGTCTACTGGGAAGACGTGCGTGGGGGTCACATAAGTTATGTGGTCAAAAACCTCATACTTTGTGAATGGATGAAGACTGATGTTGTTTAGGAGTGGGAAGCTCTTCCTAATTGAAAAAAAAAATAAAATCAGTTAAGGATATTTTATTTCATCATGAGATACAGCAAGCTTGACCTTTTGCATTTCATTGCAAAGAGCTGATCCATACCTCACTATGGAATTAATGATATCCTTAAATTAAACCCTTTAAATCGATTAAACTTAAATTTTAAATAAAAATAAATCTGCTCCTATTATTTCTGAATTAAATTATGAATTAGGTGCAGAGGGTTTAAATGTTAGATAAAGATCATGGTGACTTCTATTAGGCAATACATGCTGAGTTTTACTCTGTTCTATATACAAAATCTGTTACATTGGAAATTCCAAATGCTGTTTGCTAAATAGAGTTTGCAGAACTTCTGTCCAATGTAATGCTTCTTGGTGTTGCTTTTGAGTAACTTATTGACTTTTCATCTTATGCTACTTCATTCTTTCTGTTTTGATATCATACTACTTCGTATATTTGCTTGAAGCAGTTGGTCCAAACTTCTGAGAAAATCAGGAAGCAGAATTGAAACAGTCTCTCTTAGGAAGGGATAATTTCCTTTTGTGTTCTGTTCTGCAGAGTATAACATTTGAATTTGGGATGGATTTTTTTGAAGAAAAAGGATAATAAAAATGAGTGCCTAGACCTTAAATGCGTATTTTGGAAAAAAGGAAGGTTACTGACTCAAGCAGTAGAACAAGTTAAACAGTGTAGGCTGGATATAAAAACTGACTTTTTTTTTTTTAATTATCTAAGCTGTGTTTCCACTTATGACAGTTCCAGGTGAATCACACTGATTTTCACTTGTTCTCTTCCTCAGCCCTCAATTTTATTTTAAGCTAATAGGAAAGTTGGAAAAAAGTTGATCATAGGGAGCCATAAGCATACCAATAGCAAAAGATGTCTTTTAGAGTACCTTTTGGAGGTGAAAGGCATTGGTTGATTCCTGTGCGCTGCTTTGCATACTAGTTAATGACAGCTTAGCCTTTATGTACAGTGAGAATGAAATGAAGTTAGCCTGTACAGAAACTGGGACAGGGAACATTACCAAAAGTTGTAATGCTGGCAGCCTTAAAACATTGGTCCGTGTCTGAAGAATAATATGGTTTTGGCTGACGTGTCTCAGCTCTCCTGTTGTTGCAGTACTTTCTTGAGCTAAACAGCGGCAACAGGGATAGAGAACTTCCAGCTGTGTTGTTTAAAAAACAAGTTAAAAAAAAATCAGACATGAATTGAGGCATAGAACAAATGTAAAGGCTACCTTAAAAATATATTAAAAAAACTGAATGTGGAGGAAATCTAAAATAAACTGCAACACAGGATTTTTGTTGACTTCCTAACAATATGTGGTCTGGTTATTCTCAAACTCCAGATTGAGCATTGCAAACTGATGGGCCACCATCTGATCAAGAGCTTATTGAGGAAGTAGAAAATCTTCTACTGCTTTCATAGGGCATTGGTCTTGCTATTTGCTCCATTTCTAGAGTAAATTTGATTTGTATGCTTGTGAGAAACAAGCTTCTCAAAGATCTGTGTATATATATATGTAGTGCCAGGAAATGTGGAAAAAGTATGTAATACTAGAGAGAGGCATAAGCCACAAATTTAGATTGTGGCTTTCGTTCAGTTCCCTCACTTCCAGATTTACTGAGAGGTTTGGTCTTTGTGCATTATCTTCTCATTTGGGTATTTATAACTCTTTGTGGTTTATGGGCTATATTCCACCTTTCCAGATGTGGGTGTGTTTCAAATGCATCTGTAGATTTGGTCCAAATCTATTTCTAGAATTTTTGCATCTCTTTCTGAACCTGTACTTTCCTCTTTCACTTTTTCCCCTCTCTACAGCAAAAAGTATAATCGAAAACTAGATGTATAGTTGCTTCAGGAGAATGTCTGGTTGGTTTTGAATGTTATGGTTAAATTTTACTTTGAAATTTGTCTAGTAATGAGATACACATACAGCAATCTTCCAATAAATAAAATGGAATTATAATAAAACAAATTAGTGTGTTTTAAAACAGAAGAATTTAACCAACTAAAAATTTAATAATTCTTATTTGATTAAGGGCTAGTTATGTGAAAGCTAATGTTAAGGCTTAGACTGGGCTTTCTCGAAGATAAAAAAATTAAAGCACGGTAGTGCTATGATCAGCTTTAGGCTTCTGAGGAAAAATTGTATGTGGCATTTCAGGTATTTCTGCTCAATAGTCCAAACAGTTAACTTAAATTTAACTTTAGAATAAGGAAGGAATAAAAGAATATGCATGTGATGATGATAGCTATTTTTATATAGCAAACTAAGTTTACAAAAAATTTCTTTGATTTTTGTTTGGTTTATTAATTGAACTATTTTTGATGATTGATCTCCTTTCATGCCATCAGATTAATCTTCAGGTACGTAGCATTCAACAATGCTTTCATCACCATGACTTGATTTCTGGAATGGTTTTGTTTTTGTGTGTATGTTTGTGTGGGGTTTTTTGGTTCCTTCACGGTACATGTTCATATTCCCTCATTCATCATTGTCTCACAGTGATATGGTAAAGCTCGTAGAAGTCTCCAATGACGGCGGGCCTTTGGGAATCCATGTAGTGCCTTTCAGTGCCCGAGGCGGAAGGTAACGTATTGTGTAGGATTTTAATTGAATTGTAACTTGCTGTGTTTTATCTTAGTTGTGTTAATTTTTGTACTGTGTGCCTTTGCCTTCTGTAGAATATTGTATGTTTTTCAAAAGGCAGTCTCACTGATTAAGAAAGGAAGAGATGCAAGTTTACTGACTCTATACTTGGATTGGACTGCATAATGGAAAGGCTCTGCTTAAGAGGAGTTAGAACTCTGGGGTTTCAATAGAGGTTCTGTTGTAATCTCATGGGAAATTGCAGTATAAAGACGTTTCCTTTTGGACTCTTAAAAATTATAATCTGCTGCTTTAATTCAGGTAGATATTTATGCAACATTTCTTTGCTGACTGTTTAGAGGCGCAAGTTCCCAAATAACAGCAGGAGTGTAAACCAGAGGCGTCCTACGCCTGTGCTTGGTAAGAGTGGAACAGAAAACAATCACCATGCTTTTGATATTTAGGGTTGTCCCATCTGTTGCGGTTAAAATGAAGTAGCAAAACCAGTTGAAACATTCTGGTTTTGGGGAAGGTGAACCTGTTTTATTATATGATAGGCTGGAACTCCTGAAGTTGGATTGTTTACAAAAAAAAGTGTAAAGAAAGTCCTTTACATGAAAAAATATAATGTGGGGGATTATATTTGTAAACAGAATACATATGTCTGATGCTTACTTTGTTAAAGTAGAGTTTTAGCATTTAGGGTCATTAACATTATCTCAGAAAAATAGCTTAAGTTTTGTAGCAATTAGTGGTGGATTTAAAGCTTTTAAGTATGTTGAAAAATGATAGTTCTTCAGGAATATATGCAAATTTTATTTTGGTGATGCATATTCTAAGGATACACTGTATTTTCCCTCTGTAAGGAAAAGGGGAACAAATACATATTTTAAAAAGTAATCTTTGATTACACCTGAAGGGGTGTTATGTTCTCACATGTCTGTCGACCCAACAGCAATTTCAGTTTAGTAATTAAGAGCAAAACTAACTTGCTATGCATATATATCTCAAATATTGATACCCTCTTTTCAGAAATGATAAATGTATTTTTCTGTCTATACCAAATACCTTCACAGTATTTTAAACACAGTATAAGAGCTTTATTTGCAGTTGTTACTTTAAACCCAATGCTTTCATAGCCATACTGACAAGTATTATGAGAAAATGTAATTTTTTTAAATTTAAGGCTACTTTTTCTGAGGACTGTAAGTATTAAGAACAAAGTTCCATAAAGTGGTAAATTCTTCTTTTCACAATCTGAAATTTAGTAAATTCAGTGTAGGGAAAGAAGGGGCATGAGTGAAAGATGCTTCAAACATAAGCTCAGAAGTAAATCCCATAAAGTGGGAAATGGTTGAAATGTTCACACAGCTATCTGGGATTTAGACAGTGTGAAGGCCAAGAAAAAGACCTGTTTAATAATGTTGGCTGCCTACTAAGTACTTGTTTAATAAAATTGATGTTAGGAATGTGTATTTTGACATTTTGAATAATAATTTAAACTCAAGTAAAATTCAATTCCAGGATGTTAATGTGGTTGTCAAATCTGAGATGAAGCTTAAACTGTTTATACATAATGAAAGCATGTAAAATGAAAAAGCCATAAACACAGAAATAAAATATCCCACTATTTTAAGGATGCTAGCTATGTCAAGAGCTACAAAGGAGTATTAACTCTTTTTTGTTCTCAGTTTGGGATTATATGATAAAGTTTTATAACAGGAAAGCCAATTTTAAATACAGATGTTTAGAATGAGGACATACTTGAAAATCAAATTCTGTTACAAGGACAAAAAATATTGTATTACAATTTATCTGCTTTTTCTTTGTAATACTAGAACTCCCCTCACTGAAAAATGGATGGTATGCGCAATTGCTCTCTGAGTTTTTTTCAAACCTCCCCCAAATAATCTGCTGGAGAGGGGAGATATTTGGGTCCATGTCTTGAAAGTGTGGCGGAGCAGAATTGGAGAGAACCTCTGATATTTCCAAAACATTTCTCCCATGCTGTCTACATTGTGGTGGAAGAAAAGTAGAGTTCATTGCTTGATATTGATTATAAGCACTTGTGTTGTACTGCTGCTTTACTGTCAGCTGTGCCCACACCTCTACATGCTTTCAGTGAGAACAAAGACATTTTCTCCAGCAGCCTGTAGCCTGCGGTATGGGCAGGGAAAGGAATGCACCCAACTTCAGTTTTGGAGCACTTCATGGGGGGTTTTGTGTTGTGGGTTTTTTTTTTTTTCTTTTTTTCCCCCCCCTCCCCCTCCTCGTCCCCCAGCTTTTTTGAGCAGATAAGATACACTTGGTTTTCCTTTTGCTAGATTCAGAGGGAGAGCAGGTGCTTGGCAGGGATCCTCTTCTGCCTACTTGTTTCTCACTCTAGCACATGGCTGCTCTTTGTTCCTCCTCTGGCTGCAGAGCATAATGCTCCGTGCTACAGTGAACTAACTTACTTGAGCAGGGGATCTGCTCAGTAGAAACCTAAATATACAAAATGAAATACAGGACTCAGTTAAGACTTTGAGGGATGTCCAAAAAGCCTGATGTATCATATAACTTAGTCCATTGGTCCACTGTTGTTTTATATTTGCTTGGTGTTCAATTCCAGTTATGCTGTGTTTTCAATTATTTTTCTTCCAGTTCCTTTCTCTTGCTTTTGAAAATGTTACTTAATAGACAATGTTTATTAAATCAATAATTTTAAGAAGTGAAAAAGTGTAAAAACATACTAATGCAATTCTCCCTTTTTTCCCCTATGCAATAAGCAGCAGCAATCTCCCACCAAAAAATCCGCCCTCCCCCAAAGCAAACACCCCAAACCTCTAAAAATTATATGCCAGATCTATGTTCTTTATTTGTATTGAGGAAATATTTGACTTTTTCATGGTCTTTTGAGGATTTGGGTTTGGAGTAAGAACCTGTCTTCAGTATTGGCTTTTGATCTTGAACAAAATCTGTAAAGATCTCTGCCTCGTCTATATAGATGCTACTAATTATTTCTATTTCTAGTAAAACGGAGACTTTTCTTTTAAATGGGAAGAAAAAAATCTCTCCATAATTCTCTGGAAAAAGTAGTATTGATTTGTACAGACATGGTCAAACTTTCTTCTATGGATATGTTTGCTTATTATCCTTCTGTTTTTACCTCTAGAAGTTTATCAGTCCTTTGTTGGCCTTTTTGATCATATGATTTGGTTAACAGTTTGTTCACCTTACCAAAATCGGGGAGGGTTATACATATTCATCACCTTATGGTTGTGAAGTTTTTCAAGATAAAAGTTTTGTTTGCAAAACCTGCTTGGACATTTTTGCAATGGCATAGATGCAGTGCTAAGCAGAATAGGAAGCATGAAAATGAAAGCAGAAAGGACAGAATAGAAAGTGAGTGAGTAAGTGTTTAGATAAGACTAGAGCAAAGAGGAAATGAATGAGAGGAAAGCATAAAAGGAAAGTAAATTCTAAATCTGTGCAAAATTGCCTTTAGCACCAATCCTTCCTCTTACTAGGTGCTCAGAAAGCAGAGCAAGCACTCAGTCCCTGAAGAATAGCATTTGAGAAATCCTGGCTGATGGGGGATGTTATGTTGATGCATAAATGGGGTTGTATCAAGCTCTCCTCTGCAAGCTTAATAGTAATTATAGCATAACTTACTGTTATATGATCTCTTCTACTTTTAAGAGTCTTTGAAATCTTCTTAAGCTCTATACCTTAGCTGCTCTTCTGAAATCCTGGCATGTCTGTCTTTGGAAGCAGGTTCAACTGACACAAAGAATATATGAGATAACACCAGAAATCTCTGTGAATAATGATATGGAAGTTATAGTCCCAAGACTACTGTGAAGTATACTTACTAAAACAGAACAGAAAAGGATTTGGATATTCATCTGAAAACCTCATTTGATGCAGAGCAGTATGTAGGGCTCTGCCAGCTGTTCTTCCTATTGAAGCATGCCACAAAATCCATAGAGCTAAAACCTGGCAGCTAAAAATATTTAATCTGTGTTTCTATGTTATATATCCTAAATGTCTTAAAAATATTAAGGAAGTCTCAGAAGAATTGGAAAAATAAAAGAGACTGAATTTCATTGCTTTTTGTCAGTTTAAATGACAAATTGAACAGATTTTACTAAAAAAAATGAAAAACCTCAAATGAAGGTAGGCATTGGTGTATACCGTACTAGAAAATTGTTTATATGTTTTTCTGTTCTGTAGTTCTTTTATTTTTTTTACTTTTAGTGGAAGTGCCCTTCATTTTCTAGAGTTTAAAAATCACCTCATATTTCACTGTAAAAGTTTTAGTCTTTTACTCAAGATACAAAGAAAACTAAAGTATTATCTAATGGCCATTGCCTACACTGAGAGTCCTTAATACCGCCTTCAAGCTGCCTCTCTAATGATCGTATTCTGTTTGATCATCTAGGAGGTGTGTGTTATCTGCATCTCCATTTATTCCTCTCCCGCATTTCCGACCTTTAAAGCCTCAAAGGTAGCCATGGTTTTCAAAAACATATGCACTGGGAGAAGATTCCCTGTGGTGCGAATGTACCATTCCCTCACTCTTTTAGCTGCATTCAAGCCTTTCTTTTTCTGATCTCAGCCTTTAAGAAGTTATATAAACTTAATTTGAAGTATTATTCAAGCTAAAAAGCTGAGGAGTAGTTACCAAAGATTGGAAATTGGTTCCGGACTTCAGGCGTGAAAGCTGATAAAGTTATTTTAATGCCTCTGCAGGAGTGCCGTGACGTCAATGTTGTGCAAAGGAGTTTATGTCCAATTTAGCATTGATTGGCCATGATAATTTAACTTGAACAAGTAAGCTAATTTGCCTACTCTGACCTCCAAATCTCAGGAAATTTATACCGTGTTTATGTTCCTGTAGAACTTCTCAGAGATCTTTCATTGCATGAAACTGCTACACATTGGCTTTTCAAACAATCGTTATTTTTGCCCCTTAATCTAGTTTTTGCCTTTTCATGTTAGTGACTTTACATAAACATCTAAATTGGTTATTTTCTGTTCTGTCTGATTTGATTATATTACAGTTAGCTTGCAGGTAATAGGTAAATAACTTCAGTGTGTACGTACAATGGGCGGTGATGGCCGAATCATATTCTAGATGCTCAATGTAATATTTTTATTACTCTCATAGTATTTACTGTCAGTTTTTATTAAGACAAATTATCATCATTTCCATACAGCTGGATGGCATGTGGGGAGTTCACGATTTCAAAGAACTACCCAGACTAACTCAGGCAATTTAGATGTCAATAAAACATTTGCTGCTTATTTCTACTTTTATCATTGGTTGTAATTGATACTGAGAACTGAAATGTTAACACATGTAGCTGAGTTTATTTTAATTGTATAATTAGAGTAATGAACCTTGTGGAAATACAGTGGTGCAAATGCTAATATAATCTAAGCTGTTTACATTCCCAGTTAGGTATTTAAAACAAATAAAAAGACTGAGTTCTGCGCTTTGATACTATTTCCCTTCTGTCCCCATGTCAGCTAACGTTAGTCTAAAACAGTGCAGGTACCAAATTTCCATTTATAATTATTGTTTCAACAGGGTTGTTAACTTGCAGAGTGTTTTGCAGAGGTTCACACAATATTTAATCTCATTCTTAAAGTTACAGTTTAAAACTCTTATAATGGAAGAATTTATGTTAGAAAATGTGTTGGCTTACTTTAACTGGACGAGATTAACCAAATTCACATGCACCCATATATTGGTATGCTACATGGTTGCATTTAAAAAAATATATATACACTGACTTTTGTATTTTATACTAGATTACTTTACAGGCTTTCAAAATCTATGTTTTCCTAATGTGGGAAACGTAATATTGAAACTGTAGTAGAGCTACATCTGTACTTATCAGGATTAATCGTGGTGGCATACGGCAGGGAAAAAAAAAAATCCAATTAGTTTTTAGGTTATTGCATATTTGCAATATCAGGTCTACTCTGTTTATCTCTAGTTACTGCAACAACAAACATTGAATTCCCATAATGCCTTTTTTAGAGTCATATTCTTACATCTAACCATATTATGCTGAAGAAATACTGTAGAAAATTGATAGGCTTTTGTCACTAAAATTTTCAGGAACATACATTTTCTGCAAGTTCTAGGAGAGTTTACTCTGCTATGCAGAACTGTATTCAGGAAATTGTTTCTGGAACTGTGTCTAAAAGGATCTTTTGCCCCATGTATTTATATCAAAAAATTAAATAAATTAAAAGGCACTGTGAGGATCCTGGTTTCAAATTCAACTCAGGCTGTTCATCCAGCATTGAATCTGTTCTCAGTGACTTTAGCTTTATATGCCTTGGTTAACCTAGCTCTAACATTTGTTAAAAAGCAAAATCCTCATGAGCACCATATGTTATGTCTGAGATGAGCAGTCTTGCATTAGTAGAACTTATAGCCTTTGTTTAATGAGATTATTTGCAATTTTGACTGGTAGTTTATTTATGCATTACATTATTTTGCCGTTAGCTAGGGTTAGTAATATTTTTACTAGATTTGAGAGCTTAGGTGAAGTAAATTTAAGAAATGACAAACCGTGCATAAGATGCATCTTGCATTAATAATTTAATATAACTTCACAATGCGAAACAGTAGAAAGCAGTTTCAAGAAAAACGCTATGCAAAAACCATTGATAGACCAATTACTTTGTAATCATAAGTACATGGAGACATTGGGATGAAATAATAATATTATTTTATATAGTGTATTATCATAGTATTAACTTGGAGTGTCATACTTTGTGTAGAATATGTTTTGATATTTAGCATATTGATATTTTGATATTTTTAATATATAACCATATAAAAAAACCACCTGTTGCATTTATTGTGTATGGTCATGTGCAAGCATTGCACGCACATTCAAATTCTGAATTGTCTTTGGGCATTACAGAGGAGCACACCTGCATGAAAGTGCGGTTCAGCATGAAATGAAAGAAAAGAGAGAGTAGACACAATTATTTCCTCTCTCAAATGTAGCATTCCCAATTTTGTATTCGCTTGCTTATCTCCTCCCCATTTAGAGATATCCTCTTCAATAACTTCACTTTGGGGCTCAAAGACATTGTCTTCCCAGAGAAATTCAACAATTCACAAGTGAAAAAGTCACAAATGTGTTTTCTGACCATCAGTTTTACATGTATCAAAGCTATAATTCTGATAAAAATAATGTAATGAAGGCATACAAGTCTTTTTCCATTTTATCATTAACATTCATAACTGTTATTTTAGTGCTTTCTTGCAACTAACAATCTATAAAATTTTATTTTTTATAATTATTTATCAGTTTTAAAAATCTGAGACTGTGTTCAAAGCTTATTTTAGCCAACGGAAGAAAAAAGGGATTGAATCAATATATTTTAAATTTGTTTTGTTTTACTTCCTGTAACAAAATACCTTCATAATTATCAGCAAATTTTAGTACAATAAATGGAGGACAACATGGTCATTAAGTTAGAGTGTGACTTGTGGACTTTCATAAATTTTTTTCATGCAAACTATTAGAGGGTTGTGGGAAAGGCAAACAGAATACCACCTAAAATATCTAGATAATACAAGGTGTTTCACTACCTTGGTGATCAGAAAAAAAAACCATGGAAGAATTGTTCTTGCTTTGGGAAATTTGGGCAAATTGGTTTTTATTTTCCTTTTTAATAGGAGATGCTGGGCTGTTGGAAGGAATCTGCAAAAGGCAGAACTTTCCAAACCCAAAATATATCAACTTGAGATGGGGAGGGATAGGACTAGTTACACACTAGTATTGGTTGTGGTTTTCAAGATTTTTTTTTTTTTTTTTTTCCTGAAATGCATGGATTCTAGAGAAATGATATTTTAGCTTTATGGAATCTTTCTGGTCCCTGTGCTCACCAGTGTTATTGCAAAGAGACATATTGCTAATTGCAGCAGCTGAGCTAAAGTCAAGCCCAATCACAGTTAGCATCAGTGACTGCACCCAAGTGGTCCATCGGGAACCAAGTGAGGGTGGAGAAGGTTTGCCTCTGATGGGACCCCCCAAACAGGTCAAAGGTGCAGTACGTTAGGTGTTCACAAAATACTCCGTATCGGTTGGAAACAGAATAGTATCACTTAAATGTTAATGTCTGACTCAAACTTCATTTGATGATTTGTGTTGTCAAAATGCTTTATGTTGTTTTTCTTCTCACAGTCTGTTTACATGTACAGATTCTTTCAACTTCGTATCTTAATGTCTCTAGGTGGTTCCAAAAAGGAGATATTACTAGGATCATTTCTCTTACTCCTTCATCTGCCTTGTAGGAGAAAACGTATGACTGTTCTGTAAAATAAATGTCTTATTTGCATATGTTGATGATAAATTGGTAAATGAAGAACTTAAAGTGGAAGAAATAAGTTAAAGTTAATTTTGCTTTTCTGACCCATTTGATGAAGTGCTCAAGCACATATATAACTTTTGAGCGCATGAGGAGTCCTTTTAAGCATCATTGACTGCTCATTTACTTTGAGGTATGTGTGAACTGAAGTGCTATGATCACTGAAAGTTTTGTGCTAAAAGACATATGTGGTCTTGCAATTCCTGCCACGCAACCAAGTATTTTTCACGCCATGCCTTGAAATGACTTCTGAAAAAGTAACACTGTTGACTTGGATGATGTGAATTTGACCCACTGATACATTCTGTGGGATTTCAATGTGAAACTGATCTTCTTTAAAAAAATCAAATGCAGTGTCGATGCAAGAATAATCCTCAAGATTGAATCCTTCTTCAAACCTAGAGTTCAGCTATAGAAACAGCACTGACTTTTCACACTATCCTACCGGTACCTCAGAAATCCACTCTTCAGGATCCGTTTCATAATTTCAGGTTGAATATTTGTTTACCTTTTCTCTCTAAGAACGTCCTTAAGATGACACTGTGGGTAAGCACTAGACAGAGGTGACCAACTCATTGCACAGAGGCTATCAAATGCTAATTGTCTTCAGCCATTACTGAACCAATTAATTTAAGATAATATGCTGAATTAAAAATGGCATTTAAGTTTTTAATTTCCTCTTTTCTGTTTAGTAAAACAAGTTAAGGTTTAAAAATAAAAACATTTGGTTCTCGTGAAGTTCCCAAATCCTCTATCCATCCCTTCGTTATAGGCTGCTTATTATGTGAGATGACCCCACATTTCACTTGCACAAAAGCAGTACTGACGGCTGTGGTAGTCTCTGCTAATTCAGAAATTCAAATTTTAAGTTGAACCTGTTCAACTTCAGTTAACTAGCAGAAAAGATGCTGGCTCTCAGATGTGTGGTGCTTCCTGCAGCTTTTACTGCTCAGAAGTCTAGGCCCTTTGCAAGAATGGACATGCTGTCATCACACTGCCTGTTCATTCTTACTTTTAAATGACGTGCTTGATTCACCTAGGCTTTTTGTTTCATGGGTAAGAGATAATAACTCAGGTAATGCTTATAAATGATTTGAAACTATGGTATTCTACTTCAAGGTAAAGATGGTTTAAATTTTAGTTTCTATAGTGTTTATGATAAAATATTAAATCAATAGGATTTTCTGTGCTGCAAATTGTTCAAACAGTAGTCATTTGTAATCTTAATGTTCCAGAACCCTGGGGCTGCTGGTAAAGCGATTGGAGAAGGGTGGAAAAGCTGAACAAGAAAACCTTTTTCGTGAGAATGATTGTATTGTCAGGATTAATGATGGAGACCTTCGGAATAGGAGATTTGAACAGTAAGTGTACTTACTGCACATTACATTGCATTATTTGATCTTTAACACTGCACCTTGCAGTAATTTGAGTAATTTGAGTACACTAAGGGACATTAGTGGCTTTTAATTAGCCAAGCTACAAAAAATTCAGGATAATTATTGTAATTAAAGTATATGCACTTCTCATTGATTATCTTTGCACCTTAAAGATTCTTTCTTCTTGCATTGGTAAACTGTTTATCCTGAAATTCCCATATGACTTTTGCTCTCATGCTTGCAATGCATCATGTTCAGTATGAATGGACAGCATGGAGACTTTATTTTTAACATTTTAAAAATATTTGTGGTTCTGTATGTGTGAGAACTAAAGGTACTATATGCAGAAACTTCCTGGAGAAGTTTGAGAGATTGTAAATACTTGCTCAGTGGACGCCTGGACTTGGTAGAATCTTGAAATAATGAATAAGAAAGACTTAAAAGTGAAATCAGGTTGTAGTTCACACACAGATAATTGAAAGAGAAAGCAGAAAAGAAGTATGCAGAAAATGAGTGATTTTAAAGATGATGTTAATCTGAAAACCCTAACATGTTGAGGGCCAAAGGAATATCATTTATTCTGATTGTCCTATACTAATATACATTTGAAATGTGTTTTTTATTTCTTTGACTCTAACCTGGATTGGAACACAACCCTGTACCATATGGTTGAAAGCAGCTTGTCTCTGCTTGTTCTGTGTTTCTGAATCACAATTTAATCTGTGAAGAGACTTGTTGACTTTGTGTACTTTGGATTGTGACCTAGAGCCCAATGTCTGTCTGTGCAGGATTAAGCATTTTTTCTTGTTTCTTAATGTTGTATTCTGAAAGACTACTAACTTACAGAAAGTAAATTGTAAACTAGACTTTTTGCAAGACTGCATATACTCTCAGCGAATTGTGGAAATACATAGTCTTTGTATAAAGTGTAATTTTCATTCTAATAATTCTGTTGTCACTGTGATTACTGTTATCACAATTATTGCAGTTATCAAGGTTCAAAACAAAAGGACACTGCAGTCCTGCCATAGAACTGTCTGCATTTCAAGACTGTGGTTAAAATTTTTCCTTTTCCGAATCCAGTATTGGTACATTAGTTGTTAAGCATATTTAACCATTTTGTTGCCCTAAAGCAGTAAACCTTAGCAAAAAGCAGACCAAGTAGACTAGTGAACAGATTCAAGTTTTATGGTTTATGCTCGAATGCAATGTGTCTGTCAGCTCATGTTGCTTAATTAACATTAGTAATTATGCTTATAATGTCTTGTAGTCTGCCAGTCCTAATTTGCTAATTTTCTGTTCATTTTGAAACCTAGAGCACAGCATATGTTTCGCCAAGCCATGCGTACGCCGTTCATTTGGTTCCACGTGGTCCCTGCGGCAAATAAAGAGCAGTATGAACAGTTGTCCCAAAGCGAGAAGAACACGTACTACTCCAGCCGGTTCAGCCCCGATTCCCAGTATGCTGACAGCAAAACTATTAACAATTCTGGACTTCACACGTTACAAAGAATGTCTCGAGCGGGTAACCAGTCCGATCAGACAGACTCCTACTCGCAGCTACCTCATAGTGTGAATTCATCAGGGAAACCACCCTCGGGCCTGGTACCATCACCTCAGAAAGTTCTCACCTCCACTGCAAACAGTGGGTATAACACCAAAAAGATAGGGAAGAGGCTCAGTATACAGCTGAGAAAAGGTAAGGCACTAGTGCGATCCTCATATAGCATGAGGTAGGCGTGCATAGTATATGTACGTATGTCCAGTGCCACTGTATTGGGCAGGACAGCTTGCAGTAGCATGGGGGATGTGATGGGTTGATTTTTGAAGCCAAGGGGCTGAATTGTCCCTGACAGCACACCTAGGAGTCCAGCCGTGCACTCACTGTGTGCAGTGTGTTTGCAAAAGGCCGTTTTGAAGAGTGCTTTAACATTGTGTTCTGTCTCTCAACTAATAAGAGTTGTAAGTTGTAAGAGAGCAGTAAGTGCTACAAGTTCTGTTGGCCAAGACCCAGGGAGTGGTGAACTATTTAATGTAAATACATAAGCTAAAACAGCCCATATTCTGTACTTTACAGTTATCATGACTTTTCAAATTGAGTAAGTGTTGTTTTGCCATTAGATTTTAAGAGTGTGTTGGATAAGTTGGTAAATTGGACTTTCTAATTTCCAGCTCAAGCTTTTCTTTATTCCACTGGGACGTGAAAGTCTTTGTTTCAGGGACTGAGATGTAATGGGATATTTCCTATCTTGGCCCTTATGCTAATGTAATTTGAATGGGGGTGAGAGACTATCTAAGGGCAGAGGAGAAAGCAGTGCATGCTTATCTCAACATCTGTGTTATATGTGTGCATGTAGATGCATTGGTACATCTGTGGAATTTTTATGATGTGTTAAATGTCCTAAATGAGAAAATTTGGTATTTTTGCGTAATTACCATCTAGGTGCTTTTAAGATAGTTTGAAGTATAATAAAATGACACTTAGATGCAAATATTTCTTAGCTCTTGGGAAATGATTTTTTTAAAGGATTATACATGCTGTAAGCTTTATGGTATTAAAAAGAGCATGTTTAAGGTTAGGTATAATTTGACCTCTAGCAGCAAGAATAGGGTTTACATTACACAGCAAAAGGTTTACCCATGTGACAGTATTCTCTGTGAACTCAAAGTGTGTTCCCATTAGGATATTGTATGTGCTTAGTGTTAATAATTTTTATTAATTAATCTTTTTATCAAAAGGTATCAAAGAGAATGCTTTGAACGGTAGAGATTTTACAGTTTCACAGGTACCAGGCTACTTGTCACATTATCATTACGCTTTCCTTTCTATGAACTTCACATGAACCACCAGATTGCTTCTTTCTGGTTGCTGAATTTTAAGCTCTACAAACTTGGATGACATAAGGTTGAGTTGACAGTTTGCTTCTGTTGTTGATGCTCCTTCAAGAAATTCTTTAGGCCATCAGCTCAGATGAGCCTGCTTGGAAAAACTGATTGTTATTGGCTGAGTAAGGAATCACTGTGCTTACAAATGTGTTCTGTCACTACAGTGATTTTTACCTATTTTTTTGTGTCTGTAGAAGCCTGTAGAAATATCACTTGGACATTACATAAAATAATTCTTAGCCAGGAGTGGAAATATACATTTCATATAATTTAAAGCACCAACAAATGAATATAGAATATGGGAACACAATATTTTTGCATGAAACAAATGTGGCATTATAGCTGCTTTTAAGATATGAGAATATAATTTTAATGTTTTATGGATTCTTTGACTGTGATGTGAGGTTACAATTTGGTCATCTTGCACTGGATAATGTTTCATAAATACTCTCCCTACTTCTATAATGTAATTTAGCCTTGCTGGTACCAGTGCATTGGATGGTTTTGGAGTGAAGGAGGTGCATGCTACCTGTTGATTGAAAGTGATCTATAAGATACTTTAACATCTAGTTCACACCAGAGAAATTTGATGGCTCTTATGCTAGTAAAAGCTTTGAAATCCATATCTAGAATATATTTCAGAAGTTTAGAGAGGATATTTGTTCCTGACAGTTCGCTTATATGAGAATACTACTTATGAAAAAATGACACCTAGCTCAGATTATAGACAGAGAGACAGAAACTATTTAGTGTACTGTATTTTATGCATGGTGATATTTAAAAAAAAATTGTGCATAAGGAAGTATACCTTTTTATTGTTGCTGTCTTTCATTTGTTAATATCCACTGTAGAAAGAGGCAATCCTCCCATTTTGGCTTTCATTTAATCACTCTGAGAACATACATGTGGAGCAACAAATGAAGCAAAACACTTAAGGATGCCCCCAAGTAGTTTGTTATAAATACGAGTGCAATAGGGATGTTGATTGTCTTTGATTATTTCTAATGAAGGATGTTGTAATAATACAGGCTTTATAGATATTTAACAAATGTGCTTTCTTTGTAGCTAACAGACAGCAGTTATTTCACCAATTACCATCATTAGATTAAAAACTCCTTGTGGGGTGCATTAAGGCATACAAGCATGTAAGGCTTCATCTTGAAATTCACTTTCGATTTAACCTGTGCATTCTGGTTAATGATGTAGTATATGAGAATTGACTCTTTTTCAATACAGACAGACCTTCTTCATTACTGCTGTGTTTCTATATATTGCATGAGCTTTATTATATAAAATGACGTGGTGAGATAGCCCTACAGTACGTGCTTCTGTAATTATGATTTCTTAATATTTATTGCTGTTTTGGCATTTTAAAATAACCTGAACTTTCATAGAATTTAGCTGTTTAATAAAGTCAGAAGAGAAGGTCAGTCATATGTTTCAGTCAATGCAGAATGTTTGTTGGCTTTGCTAAATGAAAATGGATATCTGTTTATCTTTCCTTAAAGGTCAGGGCCTGAACTTTTAGCATATAGATGTAGGGGTTATTGCTGATATTCTAATGCCATTAAGGCTGTATAACAGTCTAGCTTAATAGCTCATACAAATTAAGGTAGTGCAAGGCACAACAGTGAGCCTGTGTTTATATATATTTTGGTGTAAGCTGATACACAGTAAGTATAAATAAATAAAAATAGTTCTTCACAGCTAATATATGGAGAAAATAAGACCACTGATATAACACCCAGAGTGTTAGGACAAATTTTGACCTCATATACACCAGGACTATTCCAGAGTGTTTTTTCTTTGACTGCAAGGGTTTGAGACAATGCAATTGAGAGAAATTTAGTCCAGCACTTATAAATAACCAATTATACAACAAATGATTTTAAGGCTTAGTCTTTGAGCACTGAGTAACTCACAGCATTTAGCCTGATAGTCACTAAAGCATTCAAAAGACTGCTTTTCAATTGGACATTGTATTACTCAGATTTCATATATACTGGTTTTGATACCACTGTACTAAGACAAGCCTGAAGTACTCAGTCTTTAAATCAGCTTCATTTTATTTGATTGCCTTTAAGTATAATCCTTATTGCATCAGATCATTTCTATCTATAACTACATATTTGTCTAGCTAAATTAGATATATAATTCTTGAGGTAGAATGTCAAAACTGAACTCTTGTTTCTTAAGTTGGTCCTAGTTCCACCAAATATTTTGCCTGAAGTATTCAGTGCATCAGGACTTCAGTCCACATCTCCCTACTTCCAGAGAGCAATTTAACTACCGGCCATGGGAGTTGTGATCATCTATTCCTTTTTGGCCCAAAGAATATTTCTCACTTGCAAAATAGTATCGCTTCAAGAGAAAGAAACGAGTGACACAACTGCAGGATACCTTACAGGAGGAAAGTTGTAGGAATCACCAAGTCCATCACAGAAAGGGTGTAGCAGCTGTGTCTTAGCAGATGGCAAGTCCCAAGAGGGAGGAGGCACCTTTGAGCAGTGCAACAGAGAAGAACGGTTAAATTGTAGATGTGAGGAGGATTGTGAGGCTTGTTGCTCTTCAGGGTTTCTTGTTGGATTCCTGTTTGGCTTGCTGGCCCTTCTGTTGTTAACAATGCTCCGTTTTACATACAGAGCCAAGCTTAAACGCTGCAAGTCCCACCAGGTGACTGGGCATTCAGCGTTATGGGCCGGTGACACTCAGCCCTGCTGCACCCAAGTTTCTTTCTGCAAAAAGTCATCAGAGACACAAATAAGATGCCATGGACAGTTTGGGAGTATGCTAATTTAAAATGGCATCACATTTGCTATGGAGTAAAGCACATATTTGGAGGATTACTTGTTTTTCTTGGGTTTAGATAGCAGAGTATACAAGACAGGACACTGAACTTGTCTGTACGGTATCCTGCGTCATGTATCTGAAGTGTACAGATTTACATGCATTTTTCATCATACTCTCCTGTTTTCCCCCACAGTTTCTTGAGCCAGACTTTGAACTGACATTCTAAATTTTTATTTAAAATTTCTTTTGAAGTGATTTGTTCTCTTAGACCGATTTAAGAATTCCTGTTCAGATGCAGTAGGGGTTTTTGTAACTTTTGAAATGAAGCATGTAGATTCCTAAATTACTGAAGTGACCTTGAGAAATGAGATTCAGAAGTGAAGCAAATCATTTTGGGCATTATTAGCCACTGAAGAAACATAAACTGCATCAAGTTTCATCTTTCCATTTTTTAAAAACACTTCTGATCACTACTTTTTAGCAGGCTGTAGCAAAAAGGGAAGAACGTTTCTATTAGGTTGATCAAAGATCCTCTTGAGAGGTCTGAGCTTTGCTTGGAGAAACAAAAAAGTTGTTCCAAATCACTCAACTACATAAAAATGGGCATGCAATTAATTTGTCTTGATTGTGCATGTGACTGCAGAAGTTTTCTAGAGAGCTGAGCAGTCAGCCTTCTGAGCAGTCATTTGCATGTACAGTTACCCTGACTACACATACACAAATTCTGAAAATATGGGACTTAAACTAAGAGCAGTAAACTAATTTTTCAGGAAGTATCTAGAATGGTCTTGGCTAGTTTAGTGAAGCCCCTGACAATAAGGAGAACATATTTGCTGTTCAGCTCCTGCATAAGGTCCAGTCCTTAATAAAAACTGCTTTCTTATATAAAGCAGTAGGATAATTATTTCAGCAATCACCCATCCGTACATGGATCTCAAGAAATAGTCTACTGTGAAAAAGCAGGAACTTGAAATGCTTGGAAGGAGAGTGTCTGCTCTGATTATTGTCAGAGAGCTTTTTGCC